AGAAGCAGAAAGAGCTGGATGCGGAGGATGAGGCGGCAGAAAGCGGTGATTCTGCCTCGAGCGTGGAAGACACTCAAGATTCGACCAAACACCGACATCATTTATTGGAGGATAACGACCGGGAACTCTTCCTACTGGAGGAACGACTGGACCAGATACATAGGCATTTCTTCGAGGAGTATGATAAGAAGCGGTCGCGGGCGCTTGGTGGTAGAGTGGCAGCTCTGAGAGGAGAGCGGGGAACGTCCAAGGAGAAAGATATCGACCTCAAGTTGGTGCCGGATGTGAAGGACATCATGCCGCGCATTAAGCATCGTGTGCTTGGCGGTGTCGTCCTTGTTTTCTCTGGTGTACTCCCGCTGGGAACCGATACGCAAAACGCCGACATTTCTCTTTGGGCTAAGAGTTTCGGGGCGGTCATTTCCACCAAGATCAATATGAGAACGACGCATCTAGTGGCTGGTCGGAATCGCACGGCGAAGGTCCGCGAGGCCACGCGGTATCCGAACATCAAGATTGTGACCACTCAGTGGCTTTTGGATTCGCTGACTCAATGGAAACGACTGGAGGAGGAACCGTACCTACTTCCTGTGCATCCGGATGATCGGGGCGAGCCAATTTCGCCTGGGTCAAAAGAGCTTGAAAGCGGCTGGCTGTCGTCATCAGACGAAGAAACTGGTGGGTTCTGGACGGATGACGATGAGGGGTCGCAATTCAACGAAGAGATTCTGAAATCCTCCGGGCTCAACGAGATGTCCCCCATCGGGTATGACGCTGAAGAGCAAGCTGCAGTGCACGACGAGCTTAAGGAGTTTTTGGGCAGCGATGACGAGAGCGAAAGTGACAGCGAAGTATCGCTCCTAGCGACTGGCAAGAAGCGGAAGCGTGATGACGAGTCTCAAGGCACAGATGAAGACGAATCGGACGGTAGTCAAGGCGAAGAGGGAGTGATGGAGGGCTCGCGCCTGTCGCAGCGGATCAAACGGTCCTATGAGCGTACTACAGGGCTTAAAGAGGTTGCAACGGCTGATACGACGAGCACGGCAGAACTCATTCACACCAGCTTGGCAAAGGAACGCAGTGGAGGAGATACGGATGAAGCATTGAACGAGCCAGAGGAGCCCGCGGCGAGAGGGCAGGATGTCGTCAGTTATCCGGAGGATGAAGACGATGAACTGGAGCGGGAAATGTTGGCTGCATTGGAGGATGGGGACTACGATCCCAAGGCCGAGGAAGAGATTGCAGCTGAGAACGGGTAGAGGGAATCCAGTCCACCGATCTACATACGCGGATCTTGTCTGTATATTACGGCAATTCTCTTCGATGCTTGTCTAAACTGATTTTATGTGCGGTTGCGTAGCGACGGCGTTTGGGCTGCTTCATGTTTGAGTCTGGGCCAGAATTCAGCCGGTGTTGAGAGTTGCATAGGTATATTGGACGATAGCTAGTCTCGCCATATAAGGATACAACAGAATGACATGAACATAGGGAGATGCAAAATGCAGAGTCAAAAAAGGAACCGAAAATAAGAACGCCTTCCATGCATCATGCAGTGCCAGTAGGTATATCACGTAACATAACATATCTTAAATCATATAGCATCACACCATCCCGATCAATCATATACATCGCGATTAACCTGCCAGGACATGACCATCATCCAGAGAAAGAAGATGGTATTGACCAGCTCAAACGCAAACGCTGTTTTCCAGCAATTACCTAGGTCGGTCGTCAGTCATCAGTCATCAGTCATAAGCACCTTTCAGCTTTCCAGCCCAAAACACTACTGAAAGGTATAGGGACAGACATACAAATGGTACTCTGCGTCAACCACGCCAACGTATTGATATTATTCCCCGTAGACGGATTCTCCACCACGTAGTTCTGACAATTGTCGTTCACGTTCCCCACAACCCCATACAGCTGCAGCGAGGTCTCGATCAACCCCGTCAGCCACAGCACGAAGAGGATAAAACTCCCGATGATGATGATCCCGGGGAGGAGGAAGCGCTGCGCCGCGAGGAAGAGAACGAGGAAGATGAAGAAGACGCCGAGACTGCCGCTTACAACCATGTAGGGGAAGAGCCTGTAGATAGTATTTCTGGTTAGCTCTGCTACATGGTGGGTAGGTAGGAGCGAAGGAGGAGAGGATGCTACCATGGAGTTCCCAAGCGGAGCTGCGACTGTACGGCCATAAACCAGGCGAAGATGCCTAGGCAGATTGCGGAGCCGGCTAACACAATGATGATCCAGATGTTGAGTTGGAGTTCGGGCCAGCGGTATCGGCGGCGGCGGTGGACGACGCGGGCGGTCATTGTTGGTGGTAGGTATTCGAGATACGGTTTAGTGATGAGGCATGGAGGGAAAGGGTCTGTTATCGTGTTGGGATACACTCGGTAGGAGTTCTTTTAGACGACCCAACAACCCGTTGATTCTGGGAGGGACTCGGTTTGAGAAAAAAGATAGTTGGGTGTCAACTGGCGACTGGCGACAGTGACAGATCCGACGACACACTGAGGGATGGACGGAGACAGCGCATCGGCGCCGCAATCCCACGTTGAGGCCCGCTCGTGGATGATCGGGCTTGAGGCCGGAGTAAGGAGTTCTGGTACGATTGTTCGTTGGGTTGGTTGGTCGCTTTGTTGATGCGTTGTTCAGGAGGTTATGTAAGCTGGTAGTTGGTACATGGCAGTAACTGAAACAACATGAGATCTGTTGATGCTCCGTACGTAGGTCGCTCTTGGGTGGATTGACCGTTCATGGTTATGATACTGACGACAGAATAGCAAAACTCGACAAAAATGGGTGGCAGGAAACGATCTACTCCGTGGGTAAAGACAGTTTGGATGTAGGGGAAGTAAATAGCGGTGGCTGGAAATAGGGCAAACCAGCGTTCATTGGCTCGGGAGCCGCCACGATCAACAGGTACGATCCGGATTTCTAACTAACATCGATATAAAGACGCTGTACTTTACTCAAGGAATAACTGTAGGTGAATTTTGATTCACTGTTGCTCTCCTCAGTTGACGCAGTTCATCAATTCATTGTTTAGCCTGGCGGCGGTCAGTCGTGTCTATCCTAACAAGTACATATACTCGTCTAGCCCATTCATATAACCATCAACCTGCGAAAGTGGAAGAGAAAGAGGACAGAGAGAAAACGGAAACAGAAGAAATGCCATCACAGGAGTGTGTCCCCCAGTGCGCACCGCACCAAAGAGCAACCGGCTCGGATGGTCTCTGAAGCACCGACTTCATCCAGGCTGGGGTTGACCTCTACCAGATCCATGGCGACCAAGTTGCCAGTCTCGTGAACACATTCGCAGATAAAGTCACCCTCGCGCAGAGTCAGACCGCCACGGACGGGAGTGCCTGTGCTAGGGGCCCATTGGGGGTCCAAGGCATCAACGTCAAACGAGAGATGGATGGGGGTGTCGTTGCCGATATGAGCCAGTGCCATTTCAACCACGCGGCCAATTCCATGTCTACTACAGTCAGATGGTCTCACCCGAAGGAGAAGAAAGAAAAGCTCACCTGTCAATGTCATGCATGCTGAATGCCTTGATACCATGCTCCCGCAGCAGCTGCTTCTCGCCGCGGTCCACATCGCGCAGACCGATATACACCAGCTTGTTCTTGTTGACGATGTGATCATCCTCCAACCACCCGAAAATATCCTTCTTGTCCTCCCGGGCCAGCCGCGTCAAGAAAGCCATGGGCATGCCGTGGATGTTCCCGCTGGGGCTCATCTCCGGCGTGTTGATATCGGCATGCGCATCGACCCAGATGACCGCCATCTCGCGGCCCAGTCGCTCCCGGATGGCCTTGGCCGTGCCGGAGATGGTGCCGATGGCGATCGAGTGGTCGCCGCCTAGCGTGAGGACGAACTTGCCGTCCTTGGCGTAGTCGTAGACCTGCTTGCTGAGCGTCTCAGTCACGACGCTCACGGCGCGCGGCTTCTTCATTCCTCGGTGGTCGGGATCGCTCATGGGGGTCAGGCTCTCGTAGTAGTGCACGGTGTCGTCATAGTGAAGTTGGTAGCCCAGGTCGTCGCGCACTTGATTCAGAAGACCGGCTTCAATCAAAGCAAGCGGAGCTGCTTCAACGCCTAGTTTGCACTATACAGATAACGTTAGTTGAGGTGGTCACTTACTTCCTTCCTCGGTTGAAGGATTTGCGACAATGTATGCAAGTAAGCGTCATACCTGACCACCGTTAAATCCGACAGCGACCACGCCCAGCTCATTTGGCTTGGACAGGAATCTTTGCTTGATAGTCGATGGCGCCGTCATTTTGAGAGTGAGTGAAGGGAATTTAATTTGTATAAAGACGTGTGGTACAGAGCAAAGATCAAGGATTGATAACCGAAAAAAAAGGCGCTGTTCTAGAAGAACTAAAGCGATAAGATTAAGATTGCGCGCGGTGGAGATCAGATCCGAGATTAGATGCCTCAGGCCGCAAGTCACTTCTGCTGCGAGTACAAGCTGCAACAGTATTGATACCTTGGAAGATGGAAAGGGGGAGTGAAAGTGACTCTCGAAATGAGAGAATCAAGTCAATTTATGTCTCATTCCTCCGACGACAGCCGTGGGGCCTTGCCGCCATGAGGAAACAGGGGAAAAGTGGTACACGACTGTGATCGCTAAAAACTGCTTTTAGGGATCATGGATTTCCCCTAAGTACAGGTCCAGGAGAGACGCCCGCTTGCGGGCTTCAACCCACTCCACCCTCATATTTCTATGACCAATGGTTTGGATTTATGCTTCTTTATCTAAATACAACTCCCCGCGATGATCATATTTGGTCCGTAGTCATATGGGACTACTGGATTGTCATATTGGTCCGTCGGCCGGAGGATGACGGTCGTTAGTACGCGGGATTTCCGATTCGAAAAATCAATAGAACTCTGTCTGTCCTATCACCGGAGGCTGATGGTATCTTATGACAAGGGGTATCATTCATAGATTACATGCTATATAACTACACATTGTGAAGGAGCTGCTACGGCTGATCTGACTTTCCGAGGATAAGCTCTCTCAGAATCTCATCCGCTTTCTGAGCTTCTACCCGGCCTTTCTCGCCCATGCGCATCATCTGTCCGACAAACCAGCCTAGCTTACCCAGCTGGTTCTTGGCGCGGATCTGTTCGACCATCTGCGGGTTCTGACTGAGGGCTGCTTCCGCCAGAGCAATGTACTCCTCCCGGGACAGCGGACGGAGGAGTAGATTCTCTTCCTCGAGGAGCTGAGGAACAGGTCGACGGTCACCATCGAAGACCATGACAAGCACCTGCTTGGCGGTAGCTCCCGTAATGCGTTTTCGTTGCAGCTGATCGATGATTTGCGCAAGGGTCTCGGCGGGTACTCGTTGCGCATCCCAAGCTAAGTCCGCCTTGGCCCAGAGGCCTCCCAGCTCGTGCAGCACCCAGTTGCCAGCCATTCGGGCAAGACCCGCACGAGACTTGGCGTCTTGGTCCTGCTGCAGGTCGCGCAGAATGTCGACCACGTCCTGGTAGTATTCCAACCTCGCTCCGTCGCTCAGCTCGATCAATGGCTTTGCATCCTCGATCGAGAGTCCATACTCTGGGCCAGCCAGCATCTCGATCAACTGGTCCGGAGGCGTCGGAAGCGAGTCTCTCAGTCCGGACACGAGGTCATGGCCGATAATCAGTGGAGGGAGATCCGGGTCCGGCATATAGCGATAGTCCACTTCGCCTTCCTTACCTCGGAGTTTCCGAGTCTCGGTGCTTCCGATAGTCCAGCCTCGCGTCTCGCCTTCTATGACGCCTCCGCTTTCGAGGACAGCAATCTGACGGTTCTTCTCCGCTATGACGGCGTCTTCGACCGCTTTGAAGCTGCTGAGGTTCTTAATCTCGGTGCGCTGACCCAGCCCACCGATCCCCCCGTACTGATGGGTGCCGGGAGCCTCGTCCCGGCGGCGAACTGAGACATTCACGTCCGCTCGCAGGCCTCCTAGTTCCATACCGGTGGTCACGGCACTGCAGGATTGTAGAATGGCCTGAATCTTCCGAACACATGCCGCGGCAGTGGCAGGGGTGTGGATCTGCGGCATGGTGATTATCTCAATGAGGGGATGGGATACTCGGTTGAAGTCGAGGAGTTGAGTGGAGGGAGGATATTCCTGAGACTTGGCGGTGTCTTGTTCGAGCTGGATCTGTTTGATGCCGATGCGAACATGGTCGCCGTCCTCAGGTGCAATGCCGTCATGTTGAAAGAGATCCACGTAGCCGTTTTTGGCGAACGGTTCTATGTCAATGTCAGATCGTAATCGCCACCGACCGCGGAGGAGAGGAAGCTACCGTAGTACTGTGTGATCTGATACCCTGCAGGTTGATCCTGATAGAAGTAGTGTTTTCGATCGAACCGACTGACCGGTTGGATGTCGCAGTTCAAGGCAATCGCAGCGCGCAGGGCGGGTAACAAAGTCGTAGCTTGGAATTCCTATAAATATTAGCAGCTTCCAGTAGCGCATATTGCTAGATACGAACCGGCTGACTGCCCGGAAACGCCAGGTCAAAGAGAGCGACATTTGAGTTGGGGGTGTCGGTGTTCGACGTAGAGGCTCCTGGTCACGCACATCAGATTTTGCGTTTTGGGCCAGGAAGAATAGCAACATAGATTTGACGCACTCGAAAATAGCTTGGTTCCAGTGTTCAACTGGGCATGGATCTCAATGCCAACAGTCAACTCCCACTTTTGCCGGGACGCTTCCTCGCTTTCCCTTTTCTGTCTCTTCTGAGCTTTCAGAGCCTTTGCATCTTGTTTCAGCTGCTTCCGTAATGGTATGCGTTCCTTGGATTCTGTAGCTGATGTCTGTAGCGAGCTAATGCAACGATGAGGTGCGGTTGGCAGAGGGCTATGCCGGACGGTGCCAGACTGGGTGCCGCGATAACATGAGCCTCTAAGAAAGCGGGCAGCTCCGCGGCTTTGGCGAAGCCATTGTTGGAGCATGTGTGGGGGCGGGAGCGATGTGGTATGTGATTTGTAAAGGCTAGAGGTGCTGACTTGTTGGTTGACTTGAGCAGCAATTGATCTCGCGCACTAGTCTTGAGGGATAGCCGTGAATTGCATGGATAGACAAAATGTTGTCGATGTTGAAGCGGAATTTGCGCGTCATACAGTAATGGGATTACCGAGTATAGCAACCCACCACAGCATAATAATTCGAAACATTGGTAAGTTACGGTTCACCGCTTGGGTTGTCGATCATTTTAGAGCATTTTAGTATCTCGGAGGCTGGAGGATACTGTATAGATTAATAGTTAGCTAGGAATTAATCCGAAACAATAATAGAAATAGAATCCGAGATCAATGTCTGAATGGCAACTTGAGTTAGGTGAATACTCCGTATATGCGAGTCATTCCTCTAGGATCTGTACTGCCCTCCACATCCTGCTGGCGATGGTCATCTACACAACCTAAGGTTATCGGGCCGTAAACAACGAATCGTAGTGGTTCCCGATGTGTCCCACGATGGTTTCATGCCCAAAGTCTGCTGATCTGATGATGTTGACCTCTCACAGATCATCTCTGTCAACTCTCTCACTGGTCCAGAAGTCAAGCAAGACAAGATCATCAGTTTCGACAGAAGCAGGGAAAGTCCTGTGCATTCCGAGTCCCCACCCTCGTCTGGCTGCAAGACATGGGCATCGTCCACAGCGAGTCGCCGCCAGCCAACGCACCACTGCTCGTTCTTTTTTGCTTCCAATAGATCAGAATTCATCTAGAGTCATGCAGGACAGTATCTATCATGGTTTCACCCTTGTCAGAGTCTGACAGAGGCCCACTGCAGGAATCACCTGCTGCTGTTAATACTTGACCTCTGCATGCCAGATTCCTCCTCTCCACCAGCTATTGCAACAACCGGAACTGCAGCGGGATAACCGAGGAGAAAAGGAAAAGCAAAAATAAGAAAAGACCAAATAATTCAAGGCACACTTCCTGAAGATACTCTTCCTATCTTGCGATCAGACATCACTCCATCTCGTCAGCCTTTGGCGCTTGCTGGGATTCCCTGGGACGAATTGGACTCATCCACCCTCGGCGTCGCAAAAGTCGCGACAGGTTGCGACAGGGCGAAGCGCTTCTGTCTATCAAATGACTATTGAATATAGGGCCAACTCTATTCCAACTAACATCTCACGAGTCAAAAATAGCGACTGCGCCGTCAGTTGCCGTTTCAGCTTTATCACCATTCCTGGGGCCGAACCTCTCAAGTAGCCCGAATAACCTTCGATCCCGAGGACTGCTGACCACCCCAGCAAGGCTCATTGTCACTCACGAAGTCATTATTTCTCCTGACGTACCTGTGCATATGCATCGATCCTTATCAGTGACAGTCCCCAACTTGATAAACTCAGCTCTATTGCCGTTTAAAGACAGAAATACCCCACATTCTGTGCTACATTCTTCGTGTTCGTCTGGCATAGACCATTCCAGGACATTCAAAACGGTCGTCGCCTCCCTTGATATGCCTCGAGTGCTGTCTTCTCTATCGATCACAGCCATTTGCTTTCTGGTTTCACTGTCTTGGTGTCTTGGCCTCTCTTCTCTACCCCGGGAATGTCTTGAAAACCGCATCTTCGCAACTTCCTTGAAAGTTCCAAATTGAACTACTCACACAACAAACCGGTCAAAATGCCATTGTATTCCAGTTCCAGTCGCTCCAAGAAGTCAAATAGATCATCGGCAGGTTCTGTCCTCTCTATGACGTCTCGGACGACTTCTAAAGGTTCCAAGTCTTCCGTAGAGAAAAAGGAAAAGAAAGAACATGCCCAGGTACAGCCTGGTGCACAGAAGGATGATGAACCGAGCCGGAATTACGCTCAGAAGGCACAGGGGTCTCTGAACCCCACGCGCAACTCGACCGATCCAGACAAGAAGGCTCCCAACGTGTTTGAGTACCTCGATGACGATGAATCTTCAGATGATGGTAGCTCGTCGTCCGCTGCAGAAGAAAATGTGAGTGAGCCTTCCGGCCAGCCCTCGAACGTCGTCAAGACCTACCCAAAACATACATACCCTGGTCTCAACACCGATGCTCGTACCAACACACTGTCGCAGGGCCAGGCGCATAGACAAACAAGCATCCGTAGTCAAGACTCGTCACTCAAGTCCAAGAGATCGGCAAACTCACGGCAGCTACCGCAGGTTGATGTATCTCCGTCTGCAGTGCCACTGCACCTGCCACGAAATACAGCAGACCGAAAGCTCTCCTTGGAAGAGATATACAACATCCCCGGCGCACTCACCGACAGTCCAAACCCTACCGGCAACTTGAATTTGGATCTTGCTACTTTGCCAGAGACTTACTATCCTCCTCGAAACTCCTCTACGTCGCATAGGCCTCCGCTTCCCCCATCTCCTCCGCGAAGCCCCAAGGAGGATCTTCATCGGACCGGCAGGAAGTCTCGACGAGGTACCAGGTCGTCACACATACCTTGCGGTTACGGCATTCTCTCCAGCCGACTAAGCTCGTCCTCCGACAGCAAGGAACCCCGTCTTCCTCCTTTGTACCGCCGGTTCGAAGATCTGAACCACCGTGTCCTCCTTTATCTCCAAGATGAAATTGCGCAAATGGAAGAAGATCTGAGAATTCTTGACGAGTACGAAGAGATGCATCGGGTCGCCACCGCCGAACGGGAGGGAATGAAGAAGCTACCCGCTTCGAGACGCATGGATGCTCAAGCTCAGGTTTACTCGTCCTTGCATTACAGACGGGTAGAGGTAATGGGAGCCTTGATTCACAAAACGGAGCAATACAGTAAGATTTCAAGTATATGCAACTTCTGGTGTCCTTTCGCTCACGCACTATTTTAGACAACGCCCTCGCAGCATATAGCCGAGTGCTGCAAACCATACCCAGCGCCTCAGATAAGGACATCGAGACCTACCGCACGTGGATGAAAGACCATTCACCCATAATAACAGCCGAGTCTCGATTCTTAGGCCATGGCAAAGACCTGATCTCCTTGTCGCCCTGCCGCGCATCCCCTACCGCCTCTGTCTACTCCGCCATCATCATTGCCTCAGCCGCTATCCTCCTCCCCTTACTAGCCTTCAGCATGATCTCCGAATTCTCAGGCCGTCTTCTAGTGGTGGCCCTTGTCGGCGGGGCAGCTGCCGCGATAGCAATGAATTACTCGTCCGGTGCAGAGCACCTTGAGTCTCGCGATGGATGGAGGTCTGCAACATTGTACGTACCTGACCTTGCACATCCTCTATCAACTTCGTCTCTTTTCTGTTTATGATTACCTCGCTCGAGGTTGCCCTCTCCAGATGACAATTCCTAGCGCCAGAAACTCACTGTTCACAGATACTTTGGCTTCATGACCATAGCCGCCATGTTCATCCCTTGATATCACCGTCAACTGCTGCGGTATAACGACTCGACGCTTTTCTTTTAGCTTCCAGGATGAGGAGCTTCCGGAATTAGCCTTCTTGTCATCTACAGAGAGACAGAACAACCATCGACAAACTGGCGTCATGAGATACTACTAGTGACCATGTATTCATAGAATGATGTATACTACTTTAATGATAAGTTACTTCACGAAAGACAGTGTAATTCAATTCTTAAAGTAAAAGTAGAAGAGCTTGAATTGGATTCATATTGATAGAGCCGCAATCTTTAAAACTAGAGAACATGTCCACGTTCAACTCCCTACCGACCGGACAAAACCACCCAAGCCATTCTTTGAAAGCATTCCGCGCCGATCGCTAAGAAACTCCATCCCAGAGTACAGGCAGACGGCAGCATTTGTTGTTGGTAAAGCATTAAAAGGTAAAAGACAGAAGATCACGAAGAGAAGATGGAAGGTCACTCAGGGAAGAACAGCAATCATTTAACAGTTACACATTCCACTCAATAGTGAAAATTGGTGATAATAATAACGTCATGGATGAAGGTCAACATGGAAACGGTCTCGAGTCTGACTTCCCAGCCGCCAATCTCACAAAAAGTAGAGAAAGAAAAAGAGAGAAATACAGTAAGGCATGCCCAATCCGAATCGAATCATCACCGTGTCACCGTAACCACGCCTCAAAAGTACTAATATTAGTAAATGAGAAAAGAGAAAGCCGTCACGAAGGTACAGGAGTACCATTTTGCTTGATAGCTGGCGTTATACTTCGGTCTTGGGAGCTGGCATCCGTAGTAGACTGAGGGGTTGAGCTCTGTCGGGTTTGTTGCGCTAATTGCGCTTTATTCCGGTCCATCAATGCAGCCTGTTCAGCAGCACTCCGAGCATAAGTCATTGCAGCGGCAGAGTTGGAGTAGGTGTTTGGTGCAGGGGGAGCTTGGTTGGAAGGGTAGTTGTAATTGGATGGTTGCTGCTGCGGGACATACCGCTGCTGGGGGGTTGCGGAGCCTGGTGCCATATATGGTGCCCGTGTCCGAGGGGAGGCATATGCTGGCTGCTTCTGCGGTGAGCCACTACGCCCTGCAGCATACTGCGGGGCGTATGCTCCAGGCTGTGCAGGCCTGGGCGCGTACGCCTGCGGAGAAGCTTGAGCAGGCGGCAAGGCTTGCGGTGCCGCATAGGGGCTGTAGCCGTTTTGGCCCGGACGTTGGAATTGCTGAAGATTGGCCTGGTTGTATTGCGGAGTAGGTTGTTGATATCCCGGCACGAAAGCGGGTCGCTGAGTAGGCGTTGCCGGAGGACGAACATTAGCATAGTGCTGTGGAGGGCCTGGGGTATAAGGCCCTGAGGTCGAAGGCTGTCTTCCGCCGTAATATGGCTGGGGCGCCTGAAAACCAGCTTGCGATTGTTGTACCCGAGCGTTAGCAGTATAGGCCCGCTGGTTGTAACCTGCCTGATAGCTTCCCGAGCGGCTGGGTGTAGATGTTCGGTTTGGCGCAGTAGCCATCGGTGCCATCGCCGCGGCCCGCTCCTGCTGCAGCGTGTAGTCGTCCTTCTCCATGATGCCGTGATAGTCCGGATTATCGACCA